ATTATATTATATTATATTATATTATATTATATTATATTATATTATATTATATTATATTATATTATATATAATAACTCACCCTAAAATAACAGCATCAACTATTTTTACTGGTTTTTTTCTCGGTTTTCCTGTGAAGAAACCTTTGTGAATTTCTTTGGCTTGCATGCAGTAGTCATCGATGAGAACATAGTTATCATGATCATCAGGAATAGAAAAAACAGATGAACGCGTCTGCTGCTCCTGCTGCTGCTGCTCCTGCTGCTGCTGTTCCTCTTCCTGCTGCTGCTGCTGCTGCTGCTGCTGTTCCTCTTCCTGCTGCTGCTGCTGCTGCTGCTGCTGGTGTTTTTCCTGTTGCTGTTGCTGTTGTTGGTGGTTTTGTTGCTGATGCTGACACGATCCTTGTTCTGCTGCAGCAGCACTGCAGGTGTTTTGAGTATTTTGTTGTTTGTGTTTATTACTTTTGTTTTTTTGCTGCTGTCGCTGCTCCCATTGCTGCTTTGTGAGGGGTATAACCCAGTATTCTGGTGGTGGTTTACAGGTGGGGTCGATGGGTACTGGTGGTTCTAGTTCTAGATAGGGGCTCATAAGAGAAAGAAATGCATACATATCTTGTCTATAAAGAGTATGCATATAGGGGTTTAAAGGGAAAAATATTGTTAAAAATTTCCTCAGATACTCAGCCATATGATACTGCCATCGTACACGCCCCCACCACCGATGCAGCCTCAACGGCATCAACTGCAACACTGTTTCAAGAGAAGGAGCACATATTCTATCTTTTTCTTTTTCTTTTTCTCCTTTTTTCTCCTTTTCATCCATCACAAAGTCATAACATATACGCTGCGGGTCACCCAGGAAACGGCTAGGCAGAAACATCTGCGTCCTCACCCCTAGAGACTGTAGAAGGTTTCCTGGGGATGGGGCCCCCTCAGAAGCTCTCTTGGGGGCCCCCTGATGCTCTTCTTCTTGCTGGGTTTCTTCAGGGGCCTTCTGAGGGGGCCCCTGGGGGGCCCCCTCGGACGCAACGGTGGCTGGGGGGGCCCCCGTCTGTCCATCATCAAATGCATGCTTGCTGTTTCTCTGCTTGCATTTGATATAAATGATCAGGGCCGTCGCGAGCTCATGAGATAAATCCAGATCGATGGCTTCTCGCAGCTGAAATGGAGAAGAGGGGATGTCTGTATTACTCAGTGAGGTTTCAAGCTGCTGCAGTTTTTGCAGAAACTCTTCCCGCTGCTGAGGGCTCAGCTGGGCAAAGCGAAACACCCAGTGTACGGAGTGCTCAGACAAGGTGATATGATCGTGTTCTTGCTGCAGTACTTGCGCGAGCTGCTTGTGCTCTAGCAGCAACTGGTGAGCATGCTGCAGCACCGCAGAGGGAGCAGCAGCAAGCTCTGGGGTTTCCGGGCTGTTGCATATCTCGTCATTCACCTCGTAAGAGAAGAAGCCGTAGCCGCTGTCTATGAAGCTCTCCTTTAGGGAGCTGCCGTGAGGGTCGCTGAAGTGAACCCGAGAAAGTTGCAAGAACGAAATCACCAGGGGGAAACACAGGATCAACCAACGACGCCACCGGCCAACGACACGCTCTGGAAGGAAAAACATAATTATAAAATAAATGAGTACAACATCAATGCATGCCAAGCCAGTTTCTTGCAGGTTTCCGTACGGAGTTCAAGTTGCAAGCGCTCGCAGCCGTGGTGTGCAGCGCTACACGGTGTAACAGGTGGAACACATCGGGTTCATACTAAAGGAGTTTATTACGCAATTAAAATCAAACGAAACAAGGAAACCATAGTTTATGATAATTCCTGAATACGGAGTAGGCCTCGGATGCACCGTGGCAAGCTGCCTGTAGTGCACAGGCACTACAATAGCTCCTTGGTGTCGTCTCTAGAGGCGTAGTATCATGAAAATGATTAAATACTATAGAGTATCACAGGAATTAGGACACATTTATATAGAAAATGTTCATAATAGGACCAGGGTGCTCACCAACCGGCACCGGCTTGGGGGGCTGGGTGTGAGGCTGAGGCTGTGACCCTCAGGGGGGGTCAAGAACAGTTGTATTATTCTGGACTTTCCTTTGGGGAAAGATAATATGAACTCCAAGATTTGAGAGACCTAATTAGTTTAAGAATGAGGTTTTATGCATTTTAATGCATGAATCACTGGGTTACCGCATACAGACAGGGATTTGTGTATTGTATTCAACTAGTGAATCATATGCTTGGAGCCGAGCTGAGCACGTTGAGAAACTGCACGAAATTACCCAAGGAAACCGCACCCGATGAGCTGGAACTACCGCCAAGCAGCTCAAATAGGTTTTATAAAGTCAAATATGTTCAGTTTCCGACGAGAACACCGTCAAAAACTCGAAAGAAATATCGGAAATGGAGGATTCCTTGAAGACAGAACGGTCGAACTGCCGAAACCGTAGTGCACAGGCACTACAGTGGATCTCTTGCGTGGCCTCTAGAGGCCTAGTATCATGAAAAGGAATAAATACTATAGAATATCCCAGGGATTAGGACACTTTTAGATAGAAAAGTGACTCAATAGGATCAGAGTGCTCGCCAATCCACACCAGCTTGGGGGCTGATTGTAGTGCATTGGCACTACAATAGCTCCTCTGTGTGGCCTCTAGAGGCCTAGTATCATGAAAAGGATTAAATACTATAGAATATCACAGGAGTTAGGACATCTTTACATAGGAGAAGATGCATAATAGGATCCGAGTGCTCACCAGCCGGCACCGGCTTGCGGGCTGTGTAGTGCACAGCGACCCTTTGCCGTCACCACGTATGAACTCTAAGCTACATAGCTGAAGGCCCACAGCGCTACCAGGTACCTAAACTCGTAATTCTCGATATTCTCTCTATAAGATCCGCTAACTATTCAAAAGCATTCGAGTTCCTGATTTCGTCCGGAGGAAATCCTCGGAAGAGTAGAACTGCCCCTGACCCTCGTTGAGGGTCAGTATCAGAGTCACAGCTTCAGCCTCACACCAAACGGATAATATGAACTCGAATGTGTTTTGATTATTTATAGTGTTTAATGGTGGTTTTAGCGAGAATCATAGATTTTGGTAGCTAGTTGCAGAGTGTGCAGCTAGGAAGAATAGCTTACGCTTACGGATCATAGGTGTCGGCACCACGCAACGCGGCTGTAGTGCTGAGGAGAACACCACTACATCTATGCGTGCATTTCAAGAAGGAATTCATGATATAATTCAAATAAAAATAATAAAGTTAAGCGAGTTTACACATATTGTGTACTCTGCACATTCAGCTAACAAGGGCTGAGTGAAACTTAATTCTTGAACAAGACGTTCTAGCAACGCTGAGCTAGGTGTATGACCTCAAATTCATGGATAGAGTGATATTTGTTTGCCGCTAGAAAGAGTTGAGAATTATGATGGCTGATGTGGGTTGATTAGGTTCCTTCTGCACGAACTCCGTGGCGCAGGGTGCACAAAGCTAGCACAGGGGCACTCACTTGACATCGGTAGGTTGCCTGCAAGCAACTACAGAAGCTCAACACGCGTCTACAGATATCATGCATGCAGCAAAGAAAGCTTCGCTGTGTCTGCATGTGAGGCTGTGTTGCATCTTTAGTTGCAGCGAGGTGCGCTGCAACTCGTGTCGGCCCGCCTGCTCTCCCGCTTCCCCGTGCCCTGATCCCCTGCATCCAGGACATCTGCAGGCAAGGGATGGAGGTAACCTGCTTTCAGGGACCTCTTACATTAAATATTTTGGTTTCGTTGCTAGCAAGCGACACCATGGCTCCGCTGCAGACGATTGTCGCACCGGAAAACCTGAAACATAGCTTCAACACGCTTCACGGTCAGGGGCGCAATTAAGAAGATGAAGACCCCAGAAGATAGTGCACCAGCTGCTGCTCTTGCAGCAGAAGAAAGGCTGCAGCAACATGCAGAAACAGAGGCGCACACTGGACGAGCTCGTGCTGTTTTTCTGTTGAGTCCACGCTCTGCTAACGAAAGCTCAGATGAACATGGAGTGTTTTCACTATTTACCTTTTAAATATAGCTAGTTCACCCAAAACAAACAGAAGAGCATAAGCCTGTGGTTCCTTTGGTTCAGGTTCTGCTGCCGACACAAGCATGCCTGCTGAGGCTTGAGGCAGGAAACCAGTGGACGGCAGTAACCGGAGTTAATGTTTGTGTTTATCAATCAATACAATTAAATAACATCAACTCTTTGAAATTAATTATATATAAAAATATTTTCAGTTATCATCAGGGTGCGTGCTGCTGGGTTTCGGTTTCGCCTGTGGGGCCCTCAGGCCGTACTAGCGTTCATTGCGTATTGGGTGAGCTCCCGATTCGCTGTGTTGCAGCACGATCTGCATTTACTCTTCGATCCGAAGTACTTATTATTTAATATTAATTGAGAAAAAACGGCAAGTAAAGAACAGAAAAAAAAGAAAAAAATGAGGTTGTCTGGGCGCTAACCAATCCGGTGCCACTCCCTCCTTTGCCATGCCCATGAAGGGCTCCATGTGTTCACCTCTTAAGCCTGCGTTGTCTTGTACTTATTTCTCTTATTTAATGCAGCACTGAGTGGAGTTTTCAGGCCTCATGCCAACTGTTGGCTCCAGCATCTCCTCCCCTAGTGGTTTGGGTATCCGTATCCCCTCGCCGCCGACCCAGCCTGCTCTCTTCCGTGGTCTCAGCTTCTCCTTTGTTGGCTTCGATGCTGAAAGCCTCCGCACAGCAGCAGAAAATGCATCAGATGCAGCGGGAGGGCCCAAAGATGCTGTCTCTGGGGGGGGCAGAGCTGGTGCTGGCCCCCTATCGGGGGCACTTGCTGCAGATGCTGCAGCGGCAGAAGCTATCCTCCAACTGATGCAAAAGAAAGCAGAGGAGGTGAGCTGGCATGTGGGTTGAATAATACGAATTGAAGTTGTTAGTAAGGAGCTAAACAGGTAGAGAAGTCCCACAAAAAAAAACACAAGAGCGGTGTACACCCAGCACTTCCTTTCATTCTGTATATGCATACCGCCGTATCCTTCTCCCTTCTACGCAGCAAACATGTCATGTGCTGAGATCAGATGCAGCAGCAGCAGCAACCGGCAGCAACAGCAACAACAATAGCAACCAGCACAAGCCGCAGCAACACCAAAAAGCACCAGCAGCACCAGCAGCAGCAGCAGCTGCAGCAGCAGCAGCAGTGTGCAGCATGTGTCTGCAGGCTGGAGCTCGAGTATTGGAGGCAACCCGCGAGGGTATTTCTGCAGCAGGTTTTTTGATATGTAATTTTTCTGCTGCATTTGTTTATCTCAGCAGACTGGCGGCGGCTTCTCGGTTGAGTGCTGCAGGGGAGCTGAGTGGTGTACATACAGAGCCGCACCAAGTGGTAGCTGCGCTTGAGTTGGAGCCGCTAAGATTACTAACCCCTTTCTGGCTTTTCGCCTGTCTCCGTGATGGGCGTGTGTATGCTCCTGACGCGCATGCACTCTTTCGTGTTTCAGCAGCTCTTAACCACACCCACCCACCGCTGTGGCGGCTGCAGCAACCTGTACAGCCCCACCCTCCTCCTCCTCCTGCTCTCCCTCTTTCTCCTTATTCATGGGTTAGCCAGAGAGTTCTCTTGCTGGGATTCACCCGGCGGCTGCGCCGCGTCAGGTTACCCCGAAGCTTCGCCTATGCTCTTCTTTCTTCAGATTCAGAAGAAGGGGAGAGAGGAGGAGAAAAACAAGAAACAGCGGCTGGCTATGCACTTGCAGCACATGATATAGAGATGGCTGCTGCATGCGTTGAGGCTCTTGGGGGTATTTGTGTATCTGCATCTTCAGTATTAAAGTCCGTGCAGAAACAGTCTATAGAAGAAACAGAAGCAGCAACAGAAACAGATACAACCAGCAATGCATTAGATAGATTCGGTGTTGATGTTGTTGTCGTCGGTCAGCTATCACGGCTCCAAAAAGCAAACGTTTCTCTGCTAGGTACTGGTGAAGATATTTATGAGCCTAGCACGCAGAAAATGAAAAGAAATACACAAGAAAAAAAGAAAAGATTGGGGGCAAAAGCAAAGCTTGAACTGCTATACAAGTTGCAGGGACGCGGCATTCCTTGTGTATATCATCAGTGGCTACTGGATGCGTATTGCTTTGTAAGCAGAAACAGACACCTCATGGGAGATATAAAATATTTCTTTGGCGTTCATTCCCTTTCGTTTCTTCTTTTTATTGTTGTTCTACTGCTGTATGTTGTTGCTGCTACACCCTACACCGCTTTCGCAGCAGCTGTATCCCCTGTCTATGTGGTGATAGCTCAACACCTGTTTCACGTTTGTGTATATTATATCATAACACTTTTGGGGTTTGTGATACAGGGGCGTGCACCGCCTTTGGATATGTATGCTGTCGCTACACAGCCAGCTCACCAAGGCGAAGCGACAGCACCGCCCAGCGCTGCGGCGCGGAGGCAGCAAGTGCTGCAGGGTGTACAAGTGCTTGTAGCAGACTCCGAAGTAACCCGAGATCCAGCGCTAATACAAGTATGCGCTATTATAGGATGCTGCTGGTGCTGTTGTAGCTGCTGCTGCTGCCTGCAGCTGAGGTTACACTGTGCCCCTTGGCACTGACAGTATCGATGGTTGAGTTCGCAACTGTGTGAGCGACGTTTGCGGGGGGCGGTGACTCTCGGTAGCGTATAAAAGGTGATGTTCTAGCTGCATGTACTTGTGATCTTCTGCAGCGTGTAGGGGAGCTCGGGTGTACAGACGTCACGGCAATCCCCTCCCTCCTGGGTATCTGCCCGTGGCTTTTCAGCTGCAACGCCACACGGGAACTCGCTGCAGTGCTGTGCGGCTGCAGCGATCGGGTTCAACGCGTTACTGCTGCGGTATGGCGATAGTAGATGTTTCCTCTTTGCTGCAGAGGCGTTAGAAAGCTTCGTATGATGGGTGTTGAGGGTTTAATTTCGATGCAAAATACTCTGCATGCAAAGGGATAATGATAGTTTTAGTGGTGCTGCAACCTGCCTTGTTTCTGTGATGTTGTTTTGTTGTTACCAGCTGGAGCGAGCTGAAGCCGCAAGGAAGCGGAGCTCTCAAGACTTTGCCTCCGTGCTGTTCGTGATTAAGCGAGAGGAATTAGCGGGGCTTCTGGACTTGGCCGCTGTCGCTGCCGAAGCCATTGAGGCAACAGGCAGCCAACAGGTGGTTGAAGGTGCGCCAACGGGGAGAGCTGCAAGCACGCGGAGCGCCCAGCGCCAGCAGGCTCCTCCGCTGCAGCAGGACCCGCAGCAGCAGAAGATACGGACATTGATTTCCGCTGCGCAACAGCGTGTGCTGCAGCAGCTACCAGCTGAGATGGCCCGCCAGGCGCAGCGCTTGTGGGAGGGCGCAACGAACGGTGCACACCGTCCAGTAGTAACCGATGCCACTACCTTTGTCGCCAAGCGCAACGTCGCAGCCCTTGCAGAAACAGCGCCACTAGCAGTTTCGCCGGAGTGGATTGCCAGTTGCTGGGCCGAGGCTCGTCGGGTTCCTGTCGATTCGGCTCACGGGCGAATCGAGGTACGCATATTTCAGCATGCAGTTTTTCACCTCAGATAAATATCGTGAGTTTGTTTATTTATTATAAACAAAATTCATGAAGAGAGAGGTCTAAGCCTGCCAGGTATGCGCGCAGGCACCAGACTTCTGGGCCGATGCTCTTGCCTCTGATTCGGCCGGAAACGTAGAGGATGCTGCGCTGTTAGCAGCGCTTCAAGACTGTGGCGGTGCAGTCATATATGGAGATCTCCCAGTTGTGAATGACGCGGAAGAAGCGAGGTAATTAATTAATCCTTTCATGGCTATTCTCTTTGTTGGCCTGCTGCAGTGTCGTGTTGAGTACCACTTTCGTGGCTCGTGTCTATGTGGATAGCTTGTGTGCTCCTATGCTGCTAGTTGGTGCAACAAGCAGCAAAGTAATATATAAGTGACCGTTGCATTCCGCTGCGATGCTCTCCATGAGGAAACAGAGTGGACCTAAACGTCTTCTGTGTGGCTGTCTCTGTCCAGGCTAAGGAGAGCGGTGGGAGCCCTTGAACATGCATTAACTATCGCCTGGGACCTTCAACAGGACCGGCTCTTGGAGCAGGCACCCTAACGCCTCTATCATTGCCAACTGCTGCCCCACACAACAAATCATCTCTTGACATGAGAGAGGAGAGGGTAACAGCTAACCAACACGCCTGCATGTGTAGCAGCGTAGTGATTCCTCTCTCTTTCGGCTTCCTGACGTGGTGCTGCTTACAGCACTCACAATATGGTGCAGGAAAGTTGTTATTTATAAGTTTTTCCTCGCTTTCGTTGCAATACCGCCATCGCCATCGAGCAGCGCAAAATTCGCTACTTGTTGCATGGTAACTTCCCGCATGTATTTAAGCTTCTTTCCTCCGCAAGCTGCACATTGCGCACTCAACCGTGATGCAACCATGCTAGCTTTAGCAAGATACGATTAGATGCAGCCCGCTGTGGCCATCGGAAATTCGCTACAGTTACAGTTGCAGACCAAATGAGAGATGGTGCCGTATGCATTGTCCGCGTGTTCTCGTTAGACACTTATTCTTTACCAAGAAATAAAGGAGGTGGCCGAATACTACATTGCTAATCGGGGAGGAGGTACAGTTTACTGGGGTGTGTTCGAAAGTGTGGACCCCTGTGAATGCGGCTGCAAGCCCACAGAAGTCACTCTAAAGTTGTTATGTTAATTCCCCAAAACAGATGTATAAAAGGTCACAGAAGTTCTAGACAAAAGGAAATAAGGCAGACTACTGTTCATTGCCTGCCCATCAGTCTATGAGGGGAAGCGGTGAGCCTGCTCCGCAAGCCTCAGCGCTGAGGTCTTGGCATCAAGGAATAAGGCGTCGACGTCCGCCACATCACTTGCCTCAACTATTTCTGAACCTCGAGCCTCTGCTGCAAGACGGCAGGGCTCCAAAAGTTGCAGTGCGAAGCGCAAAGATGTCTGAGCGCCTATCTCGCCAATGGCTTGTAGAGCGCCGGGGGTGAGGCTGACGCGCTCTACGGCCGCACGCAGCTGTATCACTTGCACTACCTGACGGCAAAACATCCAGTTGCACTCGTAGAAGAAACTAATGTAATCTATACATTTAGGCAGTACCTCTTGAGAACGGAATGCCACTAGCCTACGTGCATATTTGCTGTCCATATCGGGGGAATGAACGTACTTCTGAAATTGTGTATGGCTGCGTCTTGATGATAAGCAGGCGATCGAGAAGATCCACGGGCATGCCGTGAGGCTCTACAGAGTCCGTGCCACGGACAGTGCTGACCTGAGGCGCATATGTTCACTCACCGCTCCTGAAAATTGTTTTTGAAACCATCGAGAAACAAGAAATCTACACGCCATTATAGCCAGAAACATATCTCGTTCAGAGGCAAATCAAACACAGGCCACACACGTGCGCTCACAAGCAAGAAGCAAAGGGCTGATAGTACACTGCCGAGAATGCAAACAGCCAAACAGTTTCATTCCCGATTTCCTGGAAATCTGAGGAAGCATCAAGTGTCACGTGGCTCGTCAAAAACGTTTTCTGGTCTATGAGTCACGATACTGCTGTCTTACTCCTCGGTTGGTTGCGAAAATGATTATGGGGCTCATTGGCGACTCCAGCACGCGGTTTAGGAAGGAGAAACATTCGATATCCAGCATGTGAACCTGAACGGCACACGAAGGACGTTCCTATTCTCTATGGGTACTGAGATACCTCACTCAGAATATCCTCTCAGTTCTACACTACACGCATTGCAACAGAGATGAAGGCAACTTGAGCCCCGGGCAATGGGCTGGGTTACTGACGGACTTCGTCGATAAACAAAACTCCTGGGATCAGCTGTGCTACTCCCTGTTCAATATATTTGTTCACTGTTTTGTTTATTTCCTCCCTCAATCGTTCCGTAATTTCAGTTTTGCGTGGTTTCATGTACGCGCCCATCATAGAAATGACGTCGGTACCGCCCTAAGCAAACAACACCACCCCAGGGTTTTGACTGCTCCTTAAAAGTACTTCCTCAGCAGTTTCAAGCCTCAATTCTGAGGAGAATATACTTTAGTAACAACGGGCATGAATATTTCTTCTTGCACGCAGATGCACGCAGTAAGCAAGTGAACTACTTTTCAGAAAAAACTGTTTGTTGAGTACCTGCGGTTTGGAGTTGGCGACGTCAAGGTCATGCAGGGACACAGTTTGAACGACTTCTTTCTTTTTCTCCACATGGCCTTTAGGAACAGGGACGAAGTCCTCAGCCTCGAGGTCAAACTCTGTCGCGTACGCGTCACTGCGGCCGACGCGTTTCACAATGCCTGCAGAGAACCCAGGAAGCAGAGAGGAAGTGTGTGGGATATTCAGGTCTACGGCGTTGCGTTAAAAGATATATTCAGCTTCAGCATGGGTTCTTTTTTCAGGAGTGCGTGCCTGTATTCGCTTCAATGAACACGACGTCGCCCACGCGAACCTTCTCCTTCTGCATTGCATCATGCAGTTGAGGGGCCAGGCGCAGTGTCTTCATCCCTTTCACCGTTTTCAGCGTCAACATCACCGCACTGATGCATTTGCCTGCAGCACGCGCCAACAAAGAGAAACAAAACCAACCAACCGCTCGCAACACCTAAACGACTGTCGCACGCACGACCCGTCCTCATCACCGCCATCGCGTGCCATGGAATCATGAAAGTGCCAGCGCCATGGAGTGAAAGAAACATTCAGAACTGCAAACATCCAATAGCTGCAAGCAGAAAGTTGTTTAAAAACTGTTGCTTTCTGCGAAGTACACGAGCTATGATTTCGTGCCCTATTGCAGATCCACGATTCTTGTCAACAATGACTCAGTGCAAGCATTTAATCCACATAAACTCTAGCAGCAGATGAATTGTTGTACTGGGTGCATTCGCCTGCTTGAGCTGACGTACCGAAGCCCCCATGAGGGTTTTCAGCCTCCTCTGCGGCTAACTGAACGACTTCCCCCTCAAACACCTCTTTTACCTCTCGTATGCGTAGACCTAGAGCTCTTCTGCAGTGTTCAAGAAGAACTTCTGTCTTTTTCACTTCACTGCTGTATACAGCCGATGCCGCCAGCGGCACGAATGGGACCCCCGTCCCCAACTGCCCGCAAATTCCCATCGCCAAGGCAGTCTTTCCAGAGCTCACGGGCCCCGCCAGGAGCAGCGCTTGGCCTGCAGCGCCGTGAACAGCAAACATCTCTCTCTGTGTCATGCAGTTACTACAGTGGAGAGAGAGAAGCACTAGTTCATACTACAACGTGCAAAGAAACAAACAAAGGAACACTCACCAGCAAGCTTTCGGGCTTTTATCAGATCAACAACAATGCCTGCAGCCTCCCTCGCCTCCAGCTGACCCACCATACCACCCCCCTGTGGCAATGCTGTGCCATCTGCTGCTAACCCCAGAGAACGAATGTGGCTGTGGGCCGCTACCCTTTGTTGTTGCTGCTTCGTCAAGCCCGAAGCTGTGACCTTCACGCCTTCGCTGCGAAACATATAGCCAACATATCAAGCCTGGGACCTGCAGCCGTTAGCCGCCCACTCAGTACACACTGTGCACGCGTGTTGCATGGCAACTCAACGCATCCAAGGGTCGCAATCTATGGCTGGGAGAAACCGGGCTCGCCTGTATCTAAAAACACAAATAAACGGGTAGTAGTTGTTCACCTGGCTTGCGGAGTTGCTGGCGATTCAGCTTTGGGGGCCTCCTCCATTTTCCCCGTTGGGGCTTCGATACCCCGCGGCTACTGTAGAACTAAGTCGTCAATTGTTGTAGTGTCGGTACAGCCCACGCCAACGAACAATGTCTCAGTCCGTGTTCAGGGAGCCGCGTCAAGAATAGACTGTCGATATTACTGACCTTCGAGACCGAACAGGCTGCCGTGCTCGGTCGTTGTAGGGTGGTGTGCTAGAAAACGCCGGGAACTTGAAAGAAGGTACAAGAAGGCAGTAATAGAAATATTATTAAAGCTAAAAATTTGTTTAGTTGCTCAAACTTCGGTGGGCTGGCCTGCGACCAATGCAAGCAAGGCACGTGTAGATCCTTGGGGCTGTGCCTGCTAGTGCCGGGCGCTACAACCGCAGCGGCTGTTTGCCTCACCTTCAGCAAAGAAGTAGTATACAAAAAAATGTATTAAGTAGGAAGTGGGTATATTGCGAATAAAAAAAAGATAAGCGTGCTTCGTGAGCACACCTTAATGGAATCGAGCTAACTGGGAACGTGGGGGCGAACAGAAACAGGGGTGTGCCAATGTCTGTGTGAAGCTGTTACGCGTTATCTTTCCTTGTGTGCAGGCTGGTTATGAAAAGCCAAGCAAGTGTTCTAGAAATGTCTACAGTGAAGCCTTTTCTGCCCGAAGTTAGCACAGGAACATTCACTTCGCCTTTGTAGGTGGGCTGCCTGCAAGCAAATACGAGGGCTCAACAAGTGCCTCCAGAGATAAATGCATGCAGCAAAGAAAGCTCGGGTGTGCCTGCATATGAGACGGTGTTGCATCCTTTGCTGCAGCGAAGTGCGCTGCAACTCATCTCAAGCCGTCTCCTATCCCTGAGCCCCAGGACCTCTGCCGCTGTGAACAGGATGCCTGGTGCCAGGGAAGGGATGTCAGCTGATGTGAGGGAGCTCTTGCTCGAAGTATGTTAACTTCATCGTAGCGCCTTACGGTCCTCAAATAAGGTGTGAAACTCTCAGTACAGTTGGTAGCATTGCATGGTTCATCAAGGTAGGTAAAGACGCGGTTGACTGCAAGATCAAGAGAATTGGGCAACGAGAAAACAGGGCTGACCTACAGCTAGGCGTATCTGCTTCTTCTTCAGTAAACAAGGTCACATAATTCGATATTTCAGGCGCGTCAAAACGCCAGGAACCTAGAAAAGCTAAGGTTCAGGGCAGCGCCCCCAAGGGAGTAAACGAAATAATCAGGGTAACGCCCGGGCCCCCACGCAACGTGCAACGCAGTGATGGAGCTGAACATAAGGACAGACACGCCCGCAGAAACACTTCAAGAAAATATGTGCTGATACATGTTAGCAATAATTATTAGAGCAGACTAGCTCCACTGTTTATGGAATGTGAAGTGGACCTGATATACAAGATCAGGCCAAGTAGGTGCAACCTAACTCTATATTCGTTAGCGCTTTTTCTGCCGTATCGTCAACTGACGGCATTTATAATACAAGAAGACGGAGCATAATGGGTGTACAAAGTGTCTATAGCAGCGAAACAGGAAATATTACTATGGTGGTGGAGTTCTACTTTGAATTATTTAACCGAGACACTCTTCATCATGCTTCAGGTGACCCAGTATAAGGCGCAAATGCCTCTCTCTGACACTATGGAAGTCTAGGTGCCATGACGTAGTGAGGATGTCCACACTTCAGTGCTTTTTCAAGGGCATTTGCATTCTCTACTGGTGTAGGGAAACCAGCGGATCAGGGCAGCACAGCAGCTCTATGGAACCAATGGCGGCTGCATCTCCAATGAATACTCATAATAAAACCATCACGATAAACGAAACCAAAAATTGCTGTGCATCAGCTTCTGCTTCGACATATTGTTCGAGGCGTTCCTCGCATACGGCAGTGGTCTTTTGTTGCAGAACCAGTGAACAATTGAGGTGTAGCAAGTTCTGGCATAAAAGACATTTGTATTGACTAAACCGTATTGATCCTCTTCCCCATACTCTTCCAAAGGGTGTGTGCACATTCTAACTTTTCAGTCTCCATGCTGAATGCAACCGTGTAGCAGCCCTCGGTCTAAACGGCTGATCATCGTGATTTGGACTGGAGGCAAAGTACTTAAGATAATCTTTTCGCCAAAGCAGCTGGTGACCTCCCTTCTAATCGGCTGGCATGCTGGGCTAGGAGAGAGCCTGCGATATGTGAGGGCAGGAGATTGATTCTGCCAGGAGTTGCAACGCATCTTGCTGCAATTCTGGGTGCAAGTCAAGCGAGCATGCAATAGTATTCAGTCCCGGTATCCATGCATGCACTAACACTGTAGCCAAGTTTTCTAAAATTTATCGGCTCCTACATGTGATTCCTTAACTGAACATTACAGGTAAATCCCACTATGCAGTAACCGTCTGGTCCATACCTTGAAAAGCATTAAACCACATTCTTAATGGGCTCAGTTCTCCAACAGAAAAGATCTGTCACCTGTGTTCCTGCTGTACGGATAACTCGTGGCCGCGTGCGTGACTGGAAGCCTGCAATGAGCAAAGCCCTGATGCGCTCTTGCACGTGAATTCTCTAATCTACACTTTTTAAGGTGTGAACATGATGTTTCCTGCATGGAGAAGGGGATTCATCTAAAGTAATCAAACCACACTCTTTAGAATATTAGTTCTATCAATATAAAGATATGTCTCTTCTTTTCTGGTGTACGGTGTCGGCTGTGGCACTGCCAGCCCTAACCCTGAATGTAGTGCACAGGCATGACAATGGAGCTCAAGTGGAACCTTCACAGACCTAGTTAGCTGTAAGAGAGAGAATAAAATACTTATAGAGACAAGTTGTATTATTTGAAATAGAAAGTTAGGACAACCAAACAAAGATGCTCAGCAGTCACACCAGCTTAGGGCTGGCTACGAGATTCGAGACGGTCAGACATTATATTTATTATTCCATAGATTTCCTCTTTAAGACTAAGGGACTCGAATATGTTTTTAAGATGATAATTTGAATATATGAACCCTTATCATGCAGTGTTTAGTGCATAGACCCGGTGGGGTTGTCTTGGTGTAATGCACAGGCACTACAATGGATCTCTTGCGTGGCCTCTAGAGGCCTATAATACTATAGAATATCTCAGTGATTAGGATACTTCTAGATAGAAAAGATGCATAATAGGATCAGAGTGCTCGTCAGCTTACACCGACTTTGGGGCTGGGTGTGAGGCTGTTGTGGTGACTCTGAACGAGGGTCAGGATCAGTTCTATTCTTCTGGGATTTTCTATTAGGAAGATAACATGAACTCGAGGGGTTTTATAGTGGGAATAGCGAGAATCATGAATTTAGTTACCTAAATGCAGAGTGTGCACATAGTCATAACAGCTTGGGGTTCATCCGTAGTAACAGTGAAGGGCCGCTGTCTGGGCCAGCCCGGTGTTCACTACACTGAGCCCAGTCACTGACCACTCAAGGCCCATCCTGTACCCCGAAACCTTTATAAAAAAAGGTTTCTTAGTTACTTGATTTTAATTACACAATAAACGCTATTAGATTGAACTAGATGAACTCGATGTATCCTGCTTCAACATTGTAGTGCCCGGCATTTCTAGGCCAACCCTGGGCCAGGCCACAGTCCACCCAAGGAAGGCCTATTCCGTATCCTGGAACCGTTGTAATATACAGCTTCCTTGGTTTCTTTGTTTTTAATTGCATAATAAACGCTTTTAGGTCGAATTAACTGAACTCAATGTGTTCTTCCAGCCCACCATTGTAGTGCCTGACACTACAACAACGGCAGGGTACAGGACAACGCGTATGTAACAGCAGCATGCATCCCGTGATCTTTGCGGAGCGTATAAGGAACATATTTCAGTTTAAATGCTTCATTGGAGAGAATAAAGCGACGCAGGCCCCATGTCTTGTGAGTTTCACGTTTGCATTTCTGCTTCAAATTCGCCCGCAGCCAGGCGCAGCCATATTTGAGAGGCCTGTGCTTTTCACAGTTTCTACGTATATATTATGTATATATCATACCAAATGCAAAAAGAGAGGGAGCAGGTTATGACTGTTTCCTTTTTGCTGGACTGTGTGTTTTGGTGTTGCAGCTCCGGAAGAGTCGGCTGAGCGTAAGTCATATGCTTTTCTTAAGCGGCACAAGAAGGGCCCCCAATCACACACAGTTTGACATTGTTTCATCATTGTTTACTTGGGCCTGATAGCATATATAGACCTTTCAGAAACTAACGCGGTGCTGCCGCTCCATATAACTCAGGTTTGACACGTTGTTGGTTACGCCGTCACCACTTCATGCTTACACTGCATTTGTTTTCCATTTGCAGCGAAGAAGCGCGTGGTACGCCTCTCGCTGACGGAGGCAGCAGATGAGATCAAGAGGTTGCGGCGCTTCGAGCGGAGGGCAAATGCAGAGCTTAAACAACATGAGGAAGATGCTAAAAACCACCTGGAGCAGATTAGTCAGCTCAAGCAACAGATCGTTGACAACGAACGCACTAGCAAGGAGGAATTGGCCAACCTAACAAACAAGTATGAAGAAGAAACGAATAAGCTAAAGACGCAGCTGAAGGTATCTTTTCCCTATTTAAAATGTAACCTCTTAATATAAGAAAATATACAGCTAGAAAGTGCACGTGCCGCATATATATATTATAGCCGTACTAACGCTGACTTCAATGTTTATAAGCACTGAACTGGCGTCCTTACAGTGTAAGAAAACATAGTAGAGAGTTCGGTTACTGATACGTTGTCGCTGCTCAAACACTAGACGTTTGTGAAGGCATATGCAGCGTTCCGAATGTGGCGATCTTGGCGGCCTGCATGATCTATGGGGGATATCATAACTCTCACGTTCACTGTCTTTTTCGTTCTCTCTCTCCCTATCTGTATTCTTACTACCTGAACTGGCCTGTTCTATTGAACCGCATGCAGTGGTTGTCAACAACTTCTTCCTTTTGTTCCGCAGTCCCCTTTTGTCCTGCATTTCACCGTCCCTTTATCTATTTCTGTGAATGATACTGCTGCAGAATACCTCCGACGAACTTCATCATTTGAAAGAAACTTCTTTGCCGCTTGTTGAAGCGAGGAAGCTGACGTTTAAAGCATTGCGTAAAGGCAGGGCGCTCCAGTATATAGCGCAGCTGTACACGAACAACACCGTGTTGGTTGCTGTGAAGCGGGAAGGTGCGTGACAGGCGCAGTGCACGTCTGGTCTTTAGAAATAGTATATGAGTTTCTCGACTCTTGCGAGCACTAGTAAACAAGTCGTTCAATCTCGATGGGGTTTTAAACCATAGCCAAGTACATGTAGGCATCCCTCTATCACTGTGTTGATGCAGCGCTATATAAACTGCTGGAAAATGCAGTTGGCACCGACCATGCCGTGTTCCGCGCAACCCACGGCTTTGCTTGTGGCGTTCATCCCTACACTGAGAGCCACCTGAGGTTGCTAAGACAAGAGCAGCTTATCCTTTTGGCTGAGAATGAGCGACTCCAGGCACAGGTGGGCTCCAGCTGAACGCGTTTCCGTAGAAGGGTGGAGACTGTGTAGAAACAAACTATAGTGAACGGAACCTCTATACTCAGACTCAGTGTTCCACCAATAGCGCCTCCTGGTGTACGCTTCGCATGGATTGCGCAATTAAGTTTCCTTTTTTATTTTTCTTGGCCGTACGTTTTCCTTTTGGTGTGCGTAGATCCAGGAAATGCAGCACAGCACTGAAAATAAACGCCGAGACCGTCTAGTGCAACAAGAAGCAGCTATTATCGCAAAACATGATGTGGGTTCAGACGGTGTATGCAAACAGTGAAACCCAGATTCCTGCTGGAAGCACGAGTTCGCTTCTGCCGTTGCGCATGAAAGCACCGGGCCGACGTTAGGAAGAGCGTCGAGCTTGATTTGCTTCGGAAATTGCTTACATTTTTGCGTTTGTCTTTCAGGGGAATTGGCAGTCTCAGTCGCCACATGATGCGGCCATCGAAAACAGTGGTATGCTTTGACTTGCAATTGTTGCACGCCAGTGCTTGTTGTCTTGCCTTGCCGTTGGAAAGTGCATAGGATGCACTTTACCTCTTGACGTTCCAGATGTGTGTGGCTGCCTACATTGCTTGCACAGGTAGCCGTAGCGTGGGTCAAGATTTACAGAGGAGCGGGACAGATCCGCACGGTTTGATGAAGGCCCAGTCTCTTCACAATGCTGCCCTTAAGCAAGTTGAAATGGACCTCGCAAGGACAAAGCTGCGGTCTATCTGCTCTATCCTCAAGATGGCAGAAACTAGACTGCTTGCTTACGCCTGCCGCCGGTGAGCCCCCAAACCTTAGAGGCCCGCTTCTGTTGGCAGCTTGCACTAGGGCCTTTGAGCGTAAAGTTCTACACAGCGCACCAGGTTATTTCTTGCATATGCGTGTATCGTTTCTTTCTGCAGGCTGTACTCCCACTCCTTGGCGGAATCCATTGTCCACACCATGGAAAAAGCAATCAAAAAAACGAATGTGGAATTTAGAAAAGAAAGTATCGTCACTGGATGCGCACTGGTGACATCCTTTGTTAGGTATGTGTGATTGTTTGAAAATCTTACGGTTTCCTACGCCCGCCAGCCGCAGAATTGTCGTGCATGATTAGAGGGGCAAGGGGTTGATCATGGTGTTGGGTTCACATGTGCAGAGGAAAGCTTCTGCAGACTTTCAAGGTGCCATATTGTAAAGCCTTTTGCATACGCTTGTGGGTACGTCGGTCAGGGCAAATGAGAAGGCTAGGATGCTTAGAGCCTTCTGGATTCTGATTCTAAGCGCGAAGATGCAGAACAGTGCCAAGGAAGTCCAAGCGCTTACGGAGCAGCTTAAACGCGCGCAAGAACAAGAGGCTGCTTCTGCCGGGCGGAGGTACTCTGCAGCGCCATGCCGCGCTTGCCACGCGTGGTCTGTGCTATCCTCTGAACTGGACCAGGCTAGTGAGTTGAGAATTACACGGAATTATCAGTCGGTGAAGGCTGTCAGGCTTAGCATTGTATGCATTCACCATGCAAAGCCCGTTCTCAACCAAGCCCAGAAGGGGTGATACTTCCTCGGAGCGATGGCATCACACTGCATGTGTAGAACGTTCCGTACGTGAGCGTGCTTGCATTGGGTTTGTACCGTCGCGGTGGCATGCTTCAGGCTCTTCCGCCGTTCGGCCTTCAGGTCTGCCCCAGAGAGAAGACTTAACCGCTGGAATCGGCCTAGCTCCTTCACAGGGGGGTGGAATCCCTCCGCCCGTTGCCTATGCCCCGCATTATTTCCGCAACTTGCCGTCGGCGCAAAGGCGCCGCAACGTCTATTTCACCGCTACCCCCCCACGACAGCAAGAACAAGCTATCCCTAGCACAGTTCAGAGGGCTCGGGAAATGGCTCTCAGCGAGGAAGTGAGGAAGATACGAGGCGAACCTCAGGATTTAGCTGTATCGAGTCACACTGCCTGAAGTAGTTCAGACTTGGCTAACCAAGCTGGTTGCTGTTTCGATGTGCCGCACTGTAAGAGATGGAGTTGCTTCTGGATGGAGCGCAGTAGTGCTTATTTGTTTCTTGTTTTCTCATTTCAGACTTTGTACCGGCCAATTTCATTGGTCGAGGGATGGAAAGGAGCAGGCACGAATGGCTTGGGTATTGGCATGGAACCCGTTGGCACCGTCATTGGCTCCCACGCCACGTCGCAGGGCAGCAAACTGGACGCTGCTAAGGGGTCACTGAAGGGCGCACTTCTTCTACCGCAGTAAGGTTAAATTTTCTCTCTGTCCAACACCGTGTACGAGACATAGCATTATCTAGATATAGGAATATACCAACTGTGTTGTGTTGATATGTCTGCGCAGAACTACCCCATCTTCTCAACCCCTTAGCACAGCAGAGAGAAATAATGCCTATATGGAACAGTTACTACGTGCCACTGACGAGCGTCTGAAGTTGCAGTGAAGCCATATTCAATCAATGCCACTTTCTTCTTCTGGCCCTGAGAAGCATGTGGAGGTGCTGCAGCTGATGACTGCCTTGGAGGGATTGTTTTGGCATGCAGTAGTTTTGGTTTTTTTTTGTTAAGTTTTAGTGCTCAACAGTTGCTCATGGGGACACAGGTTGAGTTGACAATTTGCATTTTTTTTGTGGGGGGTGTTGTGGGGGGGAAATGGCGTTGGCATTCGGGAGTTGTTTCCACTTGACTGTGCCGTCATTGTGGACGAACTCACACTTCGGAAGCCGCGTTTACCCGTTTTTTCTTCTCTAGCAGGGTGAGTGCATCTGCTGTCAATGCGCGGCGAGGGGCGAATGCTATCTACACGCAGTGAATCGGTTTTTGCTAAAAAAGGTAACTTTCCGCATGTACGCGGGCTTTTCAATTTTAAACGTGGTGGAAGAATTCCGTTGCCACTGTATCTTTGATGGCTGATGCTAGCCGAATCGCCAGACGGGCTGTGCAGCTTAGTTTGCTGCCCATATCCGTCATTTAAAACGTGCAAAGGAGATGCGCGAATACTAGCAACTCGTGCGGGGAGTTCTCATAGTCACTCAGGTGCGAGCCACTGCAGAATTCTCTCTGAACCAGTCCACAGTCTTCTGTATGCCTGCAGACGCACCACGTTGCGCAAGTCAACTGCAGGAGAAATTTCCAGCGGTTCGGTGGGCAAGCGAACTGCCGAGCTGCCAGGGCTACTGGTGCACTGCTGCACTACATAGTTTGCACCGACCAGCGCGACGGTGGAAACATTATAAGGCATAAAACTGATCAGGATCCAGACGTCCCTAGATCCACATGAGGGAGAAATAAGCACGCAAACATTATGGAATGCCTTTCCTATCACAAGCTGTGCGTTTCACAACGTCTCGACCATAAGAAAGCTATTTACCTTCTTCTAGAGGAGTGAAGAGAAATTCGCTGCCGACAACAGTCCTCAACTTCGAGTTGTCCGCAGGCTGCAAAAAGCACAACACAATGTTTCTAAAGCGCCATTGAAACATCTGGATTCAACGAAGAGTAGGATTCCGTCGGTATCGCTGCGCAAAGTGCAACTCAGAAAAGGGGCACTAACCTTTCTTAGTACCCCTTCAGGGGCGGTATCGTCAAACTGAAGGCACCGCAGGTAACACAATTGGGAACTCAGCTGTATGTGCAAAGTAAGTTGTCCTTTTATCCCTTCATACGCATAGCTTCAATCTACAGTTGCAAAGAACCATCAAAACAAGCAAAGGTATCAAGGGCAGAAAGCTTTGCTGTCCACTGTCAACCTCATGAAGAGGGCCATTTCGAGCAGTGCTCGGTACGTAAGCGCCCTTTACATTCTGCGCAGCACCTGCATGTACACGTTCAATTCACGAGTTAAAAGCAGTACAGAAGAAAGCAAAAATTCCGTGTCATCTGACCTCTATGGGGCCGTCGAACTGCGCGCACCGCTTGATGATCAGCGCCAGATCACCTATTGAGATTTCTGCAGATGCACAAAAACGTCACGTCACCATCGGAGAAAATGCTTATGAACTCCCATCGCTTCCGCCCGTTGCATCTTCCCCTCCTATCCCAACTCATTACTGGTACTTGTGGTAGTAGAAATTGCTCTTTTCTGGCCGTCGAAAGACCCGTTCAGTGAAATAGACGTACCGCTGTCCTCCAAATCGGGGCACATGTTTAACAAGGTATGTGTCTCGGGAATATGTCGCTTGACAAGCAATAGCAGCAGCAACCGCGCTGCGTCGTCGCTGAAGAGAAATTGCCTTAAGGCAGCTCCCTTTCCCCTCACGATGAGAGGAGTGGCGTTGCCTGTGGAAATAGTTCGGTGCGCACGTTTCACTCAGTTCATAACACAAGACGAACAATTTACGTCGCCATCAAAAAGCTCATCCGTAAACTGCTGAAATTAGTCCGAAGTGTACAGCAATGCAAGATACGTCGTCGAGATCCCCCCCCAACCTACGCTTGGCAATCTCTGTCTTGTGAACAAGGGCTGGTAGCACGTGCGCTGTGTTCACTTCAAAGTTGTCGTGGGGCCCGTAGAGATTGCACGGCAATACGCATATCCAAACAAACGAATGTCCTGCACACAAGTTATCTCAGGCAGCAGGGCGATTTCGTAATGTTTTCGTGACTCTTAAAGAAACGACAAATTAAAAAGGATATCTAACTGCACCGCTCAAACACTACATATATATTCAGGCTTCGCGAATGCCCTGCCTGCTCAAGCAGGTCCATAAAAGAACGCTGTTGCCGGACATCGCACACAGATGCTGGCCGAACACCACTTTTCTGGCATATCCATGTGGAGACTGAGACAGTCTGACCGCCTCAAGTAGTTAGAGAGGATCCATACCAGCATACGTGCAGTGAATAACGGTGTTAGCAGTGGTAATTCATGTCCCCCGCATTTCATTGGCTTACCGGGGTTGCCTTCCTGAAGCTGCTGCCGACTAAAGCGAACTTGCTGTTCCAATAAGCGCTTGGCTGCTGCGTAACCCTCATTCGAAGGATGTGAAGGGGCCAAACTGCTCGCAACAACAAACCGAGTCACTACACAGTACAAGATTGCACCAGATGAAACGCCGGGCGTAAAGCGGCCATTTGTGGTTTCCCTTTAACTGGCTAGCCAACAACCTACTGAAGGTACTCTTCAACTAAGGGCAGCTTCGGGACTGTCTCCGGATAAGCACATGTGGACAGGCAAAATATCGCCCGAGGAACCTGCCAAAGCAAAAAGGCACAGCTGAATTTGTTCGTGTTTTCCATTTGTATGCTTGTTTCAAGAACCTATAATGATGTCACTGCATACAATTGTCTACAAACCTAAACCCTAAACAATTTGGCCCAAACTGTCCTCAGCTAACCCCTTCAACCACAACTATATGCAGAAAGAAAAACTCTATGACTCCTCCTTACTCGGGCTTCTAATGCTGCACGGACAACATTCGTGTTAATCAGAACATTTTCTCGGAGGAATGACTCCTGCACAACAAAGCACAACAAACTATTCGCTACAACTGAGCACTGTTCAGCAGGCTACTGCAAACACCAGCGATGAGCTGTATAACTTGCAGGTTTAACATGTTCTTGTATATATATATATACATATATACAAGAACATGTTAAAGAAGTATTCGAATTCTTTTATCAGTTATTCATCATCTGGCAGGAGTATACACACTGTCCACTTGATATTTGAACATTCGAAGCTTGCGTGCGCAGCTCACATTGTTCCTCATATTTTCGTAAAGACCCCCAACTTTGGCTGCCAAGTGAATGATGGCACTCGGCTGGTACTTTTGGAAGAGAGCTTCTGTTTCTTGCCAAACTCTGCAGTTGACAGCAGCGCAAACAGTGTGGTATAGACGAAGGTATTCAAATTTATGTCTGCAGGCGGCATAGACTTTGGCTTTGACTTGGGTTGTTTTATTACGGCAAACGGTCTAGCCCTCAGCACTACTGTTCAAGTACTTCAATTAGAAAACTGAGCTATGATGAGCGGCTATGATCTTTGCCTTCTTTACCTGAGGTCTGCGTCCTTGGAGCCAACAAATACAAAGTGATACCCTTCCAGGTCACCCGCTTGCTCCTCGAGCTCCTCTACAGTCGCTCGCAGAGCTTTGCCCAGCAGCCCTGTGCCCCCTAAGACAAGACACACGGGCGTACCCTGTTGTGTAGTGCTGCCATGGCCATGGGTTATTGCAGTCAGTTTCCGGACAAATCCTAGCCCGTGGCGCGTCATGGCGGCCTCGGGAGCTCAGCAGCTGAACCTCTTATACGCCAAACAGCCCGAGTTGCTTTGGGATTCTCCCCCCAACAGGCGTATAGGTAGGTCCTTTAACCGTCCAACGGACTTCAAGATAAAACACTCCCTGTGCTCTTCTGTATCTGTATCCTCAATTCAATCAATTTGGGCGCAGAAATGCCTATACACCGAACCAGTCTGGATCCGGTCGTGATAGGATTCTGTTCCTAGAGACGTAAGAATCTTCAGCAAGCCACTGCTAGTGGCGCTGCTAGCAAGATCTGCTAGTTTCTGAAAGGGTGCTACTGCGTGTGCAAATGAATGACCTACAGAGCACACGCAAGCGAACAGATACACACGCACGCACACGTGCCGGAAGGTCTGCGCTTGAGCGCCAAACATAAATTGTTAGATGTCCACTCTCCCAATGAGCTGAAATTTTTGAAGTAGTGTGTGGCTGGAGGTCCTACTGCAGCGCATCATCTGGGTCAAGACAACGAAGGCGCGATCTGGTTGAGGCGGCTGCCCGCAGAAACTTCAGGAAGATGCACATGCGGTGTTTCCACGAGGAAGTTCACAACGTTGATGACAAAATCACAAGAAATACTGGGTGTAAGCAACACATCAGAGAATGCATGCACGCAACAACCATCTGGAAGCTGCACGCGATCGCCGGGGCGACAGCAGTCTGTCGGGCTTGAGTATCGCGTGGACCGGCGGCGGGCAGCAGCACGAGCGGCAACGAGCTAAAACAACTGTTTCTTCACTAATTTTCCTTCAACTGCAGAACTTATGGGAAGGAAACTGACTCCACACTTGTGTGTCTTTTGCTCGATCAGCGCGTGGAGACGTGTTGCTTTAACCGACAACGCGGCAAGCAGCTGAACGACCATCCAGTAGAAGCAAGTTTGCTAGAGTTAATAACAAATGCAACTGTGGAGTACAATGCGTGTTGGAATGTAGGCAAGCAAATCTGAATGCCATCGAACCTTCTGTCTGGAGGACGAACTTCCACCTCTACAGCTTTCTGCGAGGATCCCTGGCTCAGCAGAGGTGTAGTGCACAGGCACTACAGTGGATCTCTTGCGTGGTCTTAGTGGCCTAGTAACATTATTAGGAATAAATATTATAGAATACTTCAGTGATTAGGACACTTTTATATAGAAAAAAAGCTCAATAGGTTCGGAGTGCTCGCCAGCGGACACGCCCGACAGCACGAGTTAGCGCAGTAGCTTTCACTTGGCTTTGGTACGCTGCGTGTAAACGCTTGCAAACGTCCTACAAGTACATTCAGAGGCAAAGCATGCAGCAGAGGAAGCTTCGGTGAAGCTTCCTTGCGTGCACGCTTGGGGCTGACTTCTACTACCAGCCGCAGCGGGGTGCGCTGCAACCGCATTTCTGGCTGCCTCCTCCCTGCAACAATCAGGCCCTGAGCTCAACGCCCAGGATGCCTAGGGGCAGGGAGGATGTCAGCTGGTCTTGGGAAACTCTTGCCTAAGTCTTTACATACATTGCACCTCGCCTCTGTCCTAGGTAAAGGCCAGAGAACAACCGTTATACTTGGTAGGTTCATCGGGGCACGAACGAGCCCGGGCGCAATCCCCACACAGGTGGCATCAAGCATCGCCAAAAAAAACAAACAACTGCAAAATAAATAAAATTTATTTCGTCCATTTATTTATATTGAAATAAAACCCATTTCCTTTCGTAGACAAAATCATTTCCAATTTCAGTATCTTCTTCAGCAAAATGGAGGTTGACACTCACAGAGGGGGGTACACTCACGGTCTGGAACCCCACCAAGCGGTGCCAAGCACGGAGCAGAGCCTAACATCCTGTTAGGTGGTTTGCGGGCTCCCAGGTGGCTTGATCTTCGGGGGTTCCGGGCCACTTGACGAGGAACTGGGCGTCGGCGCCTGAGCCGTGTTGGTCCATAATATAATCGACCTCATACTGCTCTGTTAAATTGCCTGCCGCATCGCGGATAGGGGGCCAGACGGTATCGGCTTCCTGGGGAACCAAGTCTGCAGGGCGGGGGCGGTGGGGAACTAAGTGCGAAGCATGGAAAACGTTGTGGCATTCATAAGTAGGAGGTAAAGCAAACGGTAAGCGACGGTGCCTATTCGTTCAATGATTTAAAAGGGTCATCGGTAGCGGGGCTCAGACCTTGGGCAGCTAGATGAAGCCGGTAAATGCTTGCTGCTGATCCAAACCTTGTTGCCCACTGCATACTCCACAGCTCGGAGCTTTGTGTCCGCGTAATATTTCTGCTGCAATTTTGCCTTCTGTTTGCTGCTCTGCGCTCCTTCGCAGGGCTGTCGGGAAAGCTTAGTCATCGGAGGAGTCAGCGTAGTGGCTAACGCGCCTACGATATCAAGATTCGCGGCAGTCAGCGGATGCTCGCTGATCATGACGTCGAAGGCAGAGAGCTCGGTGGATGAATGGCTTGCCATGTTGTGTGAGAAACTCCCCTTTAGAAACGCCAGTCTAAGGGGAGTTCGGGGCCTTAGGGATCATGTGGCCCT